CCGGCCCGCTGGATTGGGCCGGCTGGACCGGTCTAGGGAGGACCGGTCTAACAACATGTTCCAAGCTTCATCACACCACGCTTTAAAAAATATGCATGGTGATGTTGGTGAAAATTTTTTAGTGGTATTTTTACCTTACATGCATAAGATGATGTTGGCAAAGTTTTTATGACAAGATGAACAAATTGGCATGGCGAAACACTTTTTTTTGGAATTTTTTTTTTTACCCTTGTTTTATTTTTCCTGATTTTTATTTTGTGGAAGACTGTTTTTTTAGGGAGAGAAAGGAGAGAGATTTAGAGAGGAAGAGATAGAAAGTGAGAGTAATAATGTGATGGTAGGTATTCAATTTGTAAGAATGAAATCACTGGAGTCCGAGTTGAGAAGTTGAGCCCATTGGTGGGTGGTTTGGTGAGCTCGATGGTGAGATCATGAGGTTATGAAATTTGGTAGAGGAAGTGTTGGTTTGGAATGGGAAGAGGAGCTAAGCAGGGAGTGACAGATTGGTGTGGGTTGTCGGTGGTTAGGGTAGTTGAAGGCCAACGGTAATAAGCTATGCCAGGAGGGTGGTTGATGTCAAGTCGAGTAGGAGGCAATCATTGGCATTAGTTGTGTGGAGAAAAAATCATGAATAAAGAAGCGTTGCATGCGATCGACTTTGAGATGGAAAATTTGCCAATAATTAGCGGATGTCAACTAGTGAGCAAAGAACTATGCTTGGGTGAGGCCGGTTGGAGAAGATGGCTATGAATGGTTTTTTGGCGGCACAACTAGAGCTAAAATTTATTTTTAATATGTCAAACAACAAAGATGGCAACTTCAAATATTTTAAACTCTTCTATATATATCCCCGTTTTATCTTAAACCCATATTTTGGGATTGTTTGGGTGTAACTTAAGAGCCAAATGTCTTACAAACTCTCTTCTTCTTCAAATGCCACTGGCCTCGTTGATGCCTTTATTATTAAGATCCTGTTATGGGCTTCTTTTTTTGTTCTTTTGGGTCCTGTTGATGCCTTACTAAGGAGCTCCTATACTGAATTCTTCGTTTCTTGTTGTTGAGGGTTTCAGGAGTGGGTACGTGCACAGAGAGAAAATGAGGGAGGGGCGAGGGGTGAAGCTCAGAGCTATGTTTGGTGAGTGCGAGAATGAGAGAATGGGAGACGAACGAGTTGTGGTCTTGGGAAGGAGTTGTGAAGGCTTTTGACTAGACTCGAGTAGGTGTTATGGGTGAAGGTTTGAGGGGCTGTGTGCATGAATAGGAGACTGGGTGAACTAAGGGAGATTGTGGGCTTAAGAATGATTGGAGAGAGATTATGCTTTTTTCTTATCTTTTTTCTTTGTTTTGATTTCACTTCTTTTTTTAAAAGAGGCGAGTAGATGTGTTTGGCCTGCTCTGGTTATGGGGCTAGGTTGGATTTGTAGGATAAGCAGGACTTTTGTTTCCCTGGCAGAAAAGTTGGGCAAGCCTGCTTTTTTAAAACAATAGTAATATCACATTAATGTTAAGATCATGTTAATTTATATATTTTAAGTGATTTATTTGTGTATTGATTCCTTCTTTTGCATTCTGAATTTTTATTATGTGGAGACCCAGGCAATATTGGCGTTACTTTTTGTTATTTGCAATATTCTGGACACGTGATAAGTTTTATGAAACGAGTAAGGATTGAGTAATTTTCATGATGTGATGTCGTTGTCCACAATTTTTGTCGAGTTTGATCAAAAATTGGCTGTGGAATCTTTGGGTACTTACTCTTTCATCCATGGCATGGTTTCCTTATCTTCGATAGTTAGGGGCACAAATTGAGAAGTTTTTATTCATTGGGGACGGGAGTAGCGTGTATTGATGTTGTTTTACTACTTAGCTGTTATTTCTTAGTTTATTTTCGTGTACAATATATTAATGATAATGACCTATCGAGAACAGGTTATCTTCTCTAGTATTTTGATTATCTTTATAGGTTTAGTTTGCTGATGCAAGTTACTTTGATTCAACAATTGGATTCCCTAATTCAATCGTTTCCAAATTGCTATTGTAGGTCTTTTGCTTCATTCCATCAATTCTTTGGGAATTCAGAAATTTATCTTTGCTGTTGAATTCCCTCATGTGGAATCGCCAGTTCTGTCCTTATGCGGCTTTGCCAGTTTCCCTTGCTGCGAGTCACTGGACCTTAAGCTTCTGTGCTATTGAATTCCTGAGTCTGTAGCACCTATCTGTAGTATTTCTATTTGAGGCTCTATGGCTTTAGTTGGTTTTCTTCCCAAGACTGTAGCTTAGAGGACAGTCGCCATACATACTTTCTACGACTGAACTTGTGTTCTTGGACTGTAGCAATATGATAATTTTCCATTTTACGTCCACTATAGCTAGCAAATGAGATTTGCAGGAATTCCTGTATATTGAATTAAAACTTGTAATTTTATACTAGATCCAAGTAGATTATGAAATTGTTAGGAAATACTTGAGTTCGCAATAAATCCTAAGGGAAATACTTGAGTTCAAGCAAACCTAACCACAGTTGGTGAAAACAGCGAGTAAAACTGCTGTTTGCAGCAAAAAGCAGCAACGGTACAGCAGGTTTCTTGGGAAAAATAGAAGAAAACTGATAGAAAACGATGTATTCCACTAGTAGATGCAAGAAAATAGCAAACGATATAAGTTTCTTCAATTCGAGAGGAAGAAACAGCTCTCCAAATTTCTAGCCAACCCTAGAGCCCAAAAGAAACAACCCTAGATCCCAAATCTGATTTCAAATTCAAGATAACCCCAAACCCTAATAAGAAAGAATAATTAATTCAAAAGGAAAATAATTAATCCTTAAACAGCCCCTCATTCAAAATTTTCCTCCCAAACCTTATTTAATTTAGGCCATGGGGCCCACCAATGTTGCCGCCCCACTCTCTTGTCCGCCTCCCCCTTTGGACTGTTGGGCATAGACATGAACCGGTCTATCCTGGACCGGTTCAGGTCTAACAGAAACCTTTCTTATTTTTGGTACTTAGTGATTACAAATAGGACCCTTGAAGTTTATCAAAATGATTGAACATTGTGTATTGTAACAAAAATTGTAGTTTTTTTTTTCAATTATTGTGTGGATTGTTGCATCTATTTTCTTTAAGTCCTTTATCGGTATTGACGAGTACTTCAAGGGGTGATCTCCTTATACAGTTATACTGGAATAAGCCAAAATCTTACTTGTAAGTGATTAAAATTTCTATCAACTTTATTTGTCTTATTTCTATTCATTCTCGCCAAGTGATGTGTGAGGTGTTAAATTTTTTATGTACAAGTTTTTTTGACCATCTCTCTGGATATTACCTAAGATCTATCTTTTTTATTATTTATCTTTCCACATTTATTTTATTTACCAATACAAGTGCCTCTTCTATTATTTCTCAGCATTGTACATAACTAATTCATTTAAGTTTGTTTTCTACTATTTTGACTTTAATAGATGTCACTCCATAATCTCTTTCACATAATCATTTTTCAATAATGAGGGTTCTGAAAATCTGTTTTTAATTAGATTCTATTATTGTGTATTAGTAGCAAACGTATTCCTTGTTTTCATTTAAAATTCAATTTGAAGCCTCTTTATTTATATTCGAAGTTTCATCTCCCTTACATTTTGTGTGCAGAAATTGATAGCTGATTTTGAAGTTTCGGAGGGGATCTACTCCAGGGCTCGAATTGAGGACAGTGGCTCTGTTTGCCTTTGGTTGGGAGCAAATGTCATGCTGGAATATTCTTGCGAAGAGGTTTTCTTCCTATTTCGAATGATTTCTGGTACTTTATGTATAAATTTTCTAGAGTTTAATACTAGTCCACTGGACTTTTTGCAGGCTAATGAACTCTTGAAGAAGAATCTGGAAAATGCCAAAGCCAGTTTAGAGGTCCTAATTGCTGATCTGCAGTTCCTAAGGGACCAAGTAACTGTAACTCAGGTACCGTAAGTATAAATGTGACTAAACATTTAATCTCAGGTCCCAGTACAAGTCATACCAGTATCTAAATATAAAGTTTGACAATTTTGTGAACTGAATAAAAATTTTCAAAACTGAAGGTATCATCTATGATCTTTGTGGGCAAAAAAGGTTCAAATTCAAAAGAGCTGCGTATCTGGAGAATATGTAACATTTGGTAAACTCTAAAACATGAGAAATTATTCTGTGTGGAGTCCGGACATGTGAGTATATACAGTGTGTATCAAATATTTGTACATTTGAGTGTACATTCACATTTATGTGATAGAAAAGCCCCCCTCAAACTTAAGGGAAAATTCTAAAAGATGGTTGTGAGACCTGCAATGTTTTATGATGCTGAATGTTGGCCATTAAATGAGAAGCATAATACTAAGTTAAGTTTTGCAGAAATGAGGAGGCTCAGGTGGATGAGTGGCTTTATCCTAAGAGATAGGATACGAAATGAGCATATACATGAAAAGGTTGGAGTAGCTCCAGTGGATGATAAGATTAGATAGTCTCCTTAGATGACTTGGTCATATAAAATGACAGCCTCCCGATGACACGGTTAGGAGAGTAGAACTTATGTTAAGAAAGATTGAGGTAGACCTAAAAAGACTTGATTAGAAAATATTAGAATTGATTTTTCTTTATTAGATTTAAACGAGAATTTGAATTTTAACATGACACAATGGAGAAAAAGGGTTCATGTAGCCGACCCCACGTAGTGGGATAAAGGCTTTATGTTGTTGTTATGTGTACACTTACATGTCCAGACTACACACGAAATAATTTCTCCTAAAACAGAGAGCTCAATAAAAGGCTCTAAGGGCTTAATTGGAGCGGTGGTTAACGTGCCTCTATTCTGATAAGGAGATCATGAGTTTGTAATATAGAGGAGAGAGGAATTAGAGAGAGAGAGAGAGAGAGAGAGAGAGAGAGAGAGAGATGACATTAATTTGTGTCTTAGAAATAGCTTATATATTTTATCAAGGCCTCAAGTCCCTGTGTTGGTGGGAGCTTGTTGTGGGCATCACTGCAGAAAGAAATATTTTGCATTTCCAACTAATGTATGCTTTATTTATGTAGGTTACAACTGCTCGGGTATACAATTGGGATGTTCATCAAAGAAGAATCAAACAAGCGAGTTGATCACAAAAATCAAACATGGCTTTTTTCTGCTGTATGCAACTATGATTGTGGTGGATTGTTCTTTTATGCCTTTGATGATCCTACATATATTGTTAGACTTGTTGTGAGAAAAAGCAGAATTTTGACAATTATTGGGTATCTATAATGTTTTTTTTTTTTTTTTTTCAGAAAAAACAGATGACTATTTTTTTAATAGATATCTCACTGTGATGAAAACGTTTTTTTTTTTTATTATTGAAATTTTGAATCTAACAAGCTCAAGATTGCTCAATTTCGACAACAATATGACACTTAAATGCTCAACAAATGCTTTATGATCAAAGGAATATATATAGTTTGTCTTATGGAGTGTTTTGGATTTGCTCCATATTTACAAACACATCACTATTAAAAATATATAAATAGGCATTCACTTTGTGCACGAGTAGAGCTGGAACATGAAATCTAGAGATAAGATTAAAGAGAGATTTAAGGATTTAGGAACCGTGGAGGACCACTGCTAAACCGTTGTCTCTTGACAATGGTTATTCGACCACATCTATTGTCACTATGGCCCTCCGATAATTATCACCCGACTAAGGCCCTTCCAACCATCGTCCCTCGACTATGACCCTCCTACAATTGATGCTCAACTATAGTACGCAAACGTACCATCTGATAATCACTGTAAACACCAGCTGTCACTTATACAATTAGTGCATGCAATCAACATTTACTTTAACTTCCAACTTCAACACAAAACTTTTTGTTGGGCTTTTTAGTCTTTGATCTCCTCTTCTAAGTTATATCTTTAGCATCAATTCCTTCCCTCGAGGAAGGGCATCATTTGTAATCGGTGAAAATCAATAGTGGAATCATGTTAACTATGCTAAGCCCACTGGCTTCTCCCTTTCCAAGGATTTTCATGCAAAACACTTGTCTCTATTACAATTCTTACACCCTTTTTTGTATGTGCATACTAGATATTTGAACAAATCTAAGATGTTAAACTCTCTAGACCTTTATCATCGTGAATTTTCCGACACAACAATATTCTATATAAGCCTCAAGATTTCAAGTTTTATATTCTTGCAAAGAATGTCAACCTCACAATTGAATATAACTTTTATACAATATGCACTATGATGTTTGTTTTAATGGTTAAAGTAGGAGTGGGGTATTAAATATATCATCAAGTAATCATTGATTGTTTGCTTGATTGCTTTCCTTATAAAAAGGGAGACCAATAATAAACAAATATGAGCATTGACCTTGATAAATATGATAAGCTTCAACATTAGTGTTGATGGCAAATCCCTAACTTAGTGTTGATGGCAAATCCCTAACTTGTTGGCGATGACAAATGTTGATGTTGGTGCCGAGGGCAAGCAAAAGCATTGATGTTGATGATGAGCGTTAAAGGTTGGTATTAATAATGATGTCGATGACAAACATTGACATTTGTGCTGACAACAAATGTTGGTATTGCTATCAATAATAAGCATTAGGTGGTTACACGAAGAACTCTTTATTTTCGCTCTTTTAGAATCCTTCTTGAGGCCTTATCTCAACCTCCCAAAATGTGTACAAGTTAGGTGCATACAAACAAAACTTTGTATTCTCTCTCTTCTATAATCCTTTCGAGGGCCTTATCTCAATCACCTTGAATGTGTAGAATTTGTGCTTGCTTATACATTTTTGGATTTGAGCTTTATGATTATTTCAACAGAAAATTTAGAACACTCCATCGATTAATTTGTCTTAATTTTCTTTATCATATAGTATTCATTTGATGATTTAGTGCATTAATGATACAAAAATTGAGTGTCAAACTCATTGGATTTGGTAAATGCTCTAAATCTAGATTTAATAATTCCTGTGGGATAAATTTTGAAAAATGTTTAGTATGATAGGTGCATAATCAAATTAAGCTCATTTAAATTGTTTGGTTACTTATGATAGAATTTAAAGATTTATATGGTTGAGACATCTTAATATATTTACTTTCTTAGATCAACCTTTATTAAAATCATTAAATTATAATTAATTTTACTAAATAATTAAGCCAACAATTAATTAGTAATTTATCAAGCTAATTAAATAATATCTCATATTTTGATAAAGAAAATGAAAAAAAAAATTCATGTTGTAAGGAAAATGGAGAATAAGGACAGTCATCGTCATCGCCGCGCCTACGATATTATACAGTCGATTTTCAGTCAACAAGCACTATTCCCCTTTGAACTGCAGCTAATTCAACTATCCTCCTCTTCTTTGCCAATGATCGTCCTCCATCGTTGGTGATCATCCTCCTCATTGACCTCAGGGTTGTTTAGTAACACCCAGGATTTCATTTAAGTAGGTTTTCGTAAATCTTCTAAATCCATATTTATGAAATCCGGGGGGGGGGGGGGATTAATCCTGAAAACTATTTGATAACATTTATGATAATACCTATTAAATCATGTGTGACTGTTTGGCTATTTAATTCAAAATTTTAAGCGTTTAAAAGATTTGACATGCATTTCTTGGATAATTAAAGTACAACAATATAAGTTCAAATAAAATACAATAAAGTTTCGATAAAAAATATAACAATAACATAAATTTAAGATTATTTTAATCATTTTAAATAATCTTCTATTTAATTAATATTAATAGTTCATGATAAATTCTGTTAAATCCCGTGTAACTGTTTGGCTATTTAGTTCAGGATTTTAAGCGGTTAAAAATTTTGACATGCATTTCTTGTATAATTAAGTACAACAACAGAAGTTCAAATAAAATATAATGAAGTTTCGATAAAAATATAACAATAACATAGATTTAAGATTAGTTTACTCATTTTAAATAATCTTCAATTTAATTAATATTAATACTTTTTTCAAATTATCTAAATTTGTAAGAAAGTAGTTGCGGAATAGTTGTAAAACTTCAAATCCCCGAAATAGACTATTTAAATCATACAAAATCTAATCAACAAATGTATTATTTATTAATTAATAATTTATTAAGTTAATTAACTCATCATTTCTATTTAGATAAATTAAATAAAAATAGTATCAATTATAGCAAATTAAATTTTTTATTGAATTCAAATAAATTATAATTAGCATAATTTAATATCTTTATTAATTATTAATAGGGGGAAGCACAAAAAGTATTTTTATAAACTTTTTTTTTCAGCTTGCAAGCTTTCAAAATAAAAAAACGTCACAATTTTGAACCTAATAGTCTCATTGTTGTCTCATGGAACAATAGCCTAGTTGAGTTTGTTTAAATTGCATCATTTCTTATTTTATTTTTATTGGGTCATTTATTATGTCCAACTTCTAATCAACTTGTTGATGCAACCATAAGGACTGATACCAAATGCAATGCAAAAATTCTTGGGTCTAGAGTTCTCGTTATGCTAATCTAAGATAGGAGTGTAAGTGAGTCGAGCCAGCCCGAACTTGACTAGTTAAAAAGCTCACGAGACAAGCTTATCGAGCCACGAGCTAGAGCTCAAGCTCAAACTCTAGCTCGTTTATTAAATGAGCTCAAATTCAAGCTTGATGCGGCTCAACTTGTGAGCTCACATTAATTAATTATCTAATAAAAATATTTATATATTAACTAATATATAGTTGGCGGCTGGCAGGACGCGAACCAAAGATGAAAACGGGCAAGAATTCCAATTCACGGGCGGGAATTTCGAAAGATGAAACGGCGTAACGCAGCTCGCTGGAATTTTGAACGGCTGGGCAGGAATCGCGGAATGGTAGATGCAGGCTTGCCTGTAGAATTGAACTGCTCGACAAGCCGACCTGCGGTGCGATGAGTCAAGCTCAAGCTCGCCTTTTGAGCTCGACTCAAACTCGAGTTCGAGCCATTATTCTGACCGACAAGCCGAGCATGATATGGCCACTACTCGACTCGTTTACACCCCTAATATGATATACAAAATTCCAATCCAACTCTTACGTTAGGCAAATCTAAGTCTATTTTGATGCAAATTTATAAAACGCAAACAATTCACTTCAAGTAATAATTTAAAGGTCATAAAAACTGAAATTTTACCAAAAAAAATTGAATGAATTTAAATGAAGCAACAATTATGACTTGCACCGAAATAAAAAATAAAAAATAAAGCCACAGTGTACATGATAAAACCCGAATAATGCATCTATAAATCAAGTATAAAGTACGCATATGAAAAATGAACAATGGCTTAAGTTACTAAAGAAACAAGTCAAACTAATACATTCTCCCACATCCAATAACACATAATTGAGAGTAATTATAATTTTTTTTTCAAACCAGTAAATAATTTTACATGCCTAGACACATCCTATTTTATCTGAATTTCTAAATCTACTATAAGCGCAAGCCTTCGTAATTAATTACATCATAGGAAAGTCGAATTACCTATGAATACTCTCGCTTAAAATAAGGGTAGAAATTTTATTTTGAATTTTTAAAAATTGAACTCAAAGGAGAGAGGCTTGAATTTAAATTGGGATTAGATTAAGATTGAACACTTATGTTTGGAGGTCAAAGGAAGAAAAGTATGAGGTGTTTGAGATTTTGAAACAATTTAGAAACATCCCAAACTATCCTAAGTGTTGGGCTTAAAATTTTGAATTGAATGAGAATTAATTTGAGTTATCAATTTTATTAGAAGGTTGTGATTCAATTTCCAGAGGGTTGAGATCTTATAGTCTAAACCTACCTTAGAACCCAAATCTAAATTGGGCATTAAAAATCAGTAGCCTAAACCTAACTAATACAGTGCAAATTTGGGCTTATCCCGACCTATATTGGGGAGCCAGCTAACCATCTAGACGTTTTAAAATCACGAGTCTGGTCATTTATAAAAGAGTGGTATGAACGTTGTTTAATTAAGTTTGAGAAAATGAGGCCGACATCTAAAACAGATTCTAATTGGTCCCTTAACTTATGTAGGGTGAAATGAAGCTTGAAATAAAGAACATTTATATTTTTATACACTTTTAAATTTGTTTCTAATGCAATGTATGCAAGTCGACTCAATAAATACTTAAATCAAATATGAAGCTGTTTTTAAAAAGCCTTAAACATATATTTTATCCTAGAGATTGCACTTCTCCTTGATAAGACTACACCCTAATAGATCAGGTGACCTGCCAGAACCCGCATACTATGAGGTGCATAACTAGGAAGAGAATATATAATATGATGCATGCGACCCTCGGCGATCTGAGCTTTTTTCTTAA